TTTTTGTTGAATTTCATAATTAATATCTATACGTTTATCCGTCTATTTATTTAACAAATATCGAATCTACACTTAATATGACAAATTCTATGACAATTTTGTTCCTTTCCTTATGCATATGTTTATGCGACTATGCAAGTTTGTCTGGATAGGCCCTAATTCTTACAATTAATACAACCGTATATAGAATATTAAATTAACTGTTAAATTAGTTACTAATTACCATAAATGTGTAACTAAGTTAAGTTACAGTTATAGATAAAGAAAAAGGAACGAAGTTAAGTGTTATGTGTCAGCAGGGATAGAATATATCCACACTGTGATTCCGCATATAAAAAAATTAGTTTATTGATTTACGTTCTGAGATAATACAGTTTTGTGGTTTTTGACACACACTAATATTTGCGACGACGCTTAGGGTCCCTTCGAACGCCCTAAGTCGCATGGACCTCGCCTAAGGGCGTTATGAGTCCTTTCACCCTGAGTCCTGGTGGTCGGACGAACCGCGACAACGCCTAGAGACGAATCGTCTTGAGTCGCGATATTGATTGATATAAATATGCACACACACACTCGGTATCGATTGTTTGCTTTACTTTGATCGTATGAACGCTTCAAAAAAGAGTCTAGCTGAAGAACCGTCGACTAGCTCGGGCAAAACAGTATTGAATAATAATTTAGCCTTTCCAAGCTAGGTTTCTTGGATCCGGCTTTTGATTGGTTCTGAACTCCCATTGGTTTATATAAATAAGGTGACATCAACAATATGCCGACAAAGATTGTTGTTTTAAAACTTACCCACGATGAAAAAGATCAAAAAATACCGCCGATATAAAAAAAAGTCAGAAAGTACCGCCGACGCTATCGTTAGACATTGCGCGGCCTTTAGATCTTCGCCGAATTTATAAGATCCGAATTTATAAGTGTGTGTATGTGTGTGTATGTGTGTGTATGTGTATGTGTGTATGTGAACGCATTATTCTGTCCGACCATTATATTTATTTTCTATTATTGCTTTATTGCAATATTAATTTATGTGCACAACGCATAGAGAGCTCTCATACGTGACATTAAGTTATAGTTACCGAAAAAAAATAACTGTAACTGTAACTTTGTTACAAATAACGAGTTACTTCCCAACCCTGCAGAAATGTAAGAATTATAAAAATGTTCGTCTTTTTAAAAAATATCTTTAAAGTATAGCGTTTTGCCTCTACTAGGAATTTTGTCATCTTTTGCACAGCAAATTTTATTAGCGTTAAATTATTAAATTTTTCTGACGAGAACGTGCGTATACTTGTTTAAAAGACCAAATAAATTTTTGAAATGTGTGGAAACTAAATTCGTAAACAGAGATATAGATATTGAAACTCAGGCTTGCCACGAGATTTCAAGTATACACGACTGGAGCGGCGAGTTAACATTCTTACAGAAGCTTGATAATCTATCCAATCAAGGAATTGAGCGATTAGATTACCTATTGGATCCATCGAGCATTAATCTACGGTTAAATCGCGGCTGTATCACAGATCGACGTTTCTCTCTCGGACCTCCGGCCCACAATATCCGTTGCGGCAGAATCGGGGATAATAACTCACCGAGTGTCCGTGAATTACACGTTACAGCGGCCAGGCGTCGTCCGTCGCGTCGACGTTTTCATTTTAATAGAAATTGATGGACGGAAAAGCCGCCGCGCGAATAAGTAGGAAGTTAAGGAGACGAAAGAGAGAGGCTCGAGGAGGCGGGGCGAGGGAGAGGGACACAAAACGCGGCCATGTAATTAGAAATCACGGGGATTTACGGGGCATCGGGCAATAAATCCAAAAAGTAACGGCTAATGGCACGCACATTGACGTATCCATCTGACTATCGTTCATCTTTCTCACGAGTCCCGCCGCGCGCGCACGCCCCGTATGCGCGACGCGCGCGCCTCGCGGCTACTCCGCGCGAGCGGACTCTCCGCTCTCGCTCGTCCGCGCGGGGAATGGAAAGGACAACGAGACGAAAGGATCGACGCCTTCAGAATGAACTACGGGGCTTTCTTCTCACGGGGGTTGGGGAAAGGGGGGGGACGTCGCGCCGGCCATAAGCACGCTTGATTTACGTTAAAAGCCGAGTCGGGCCCGCGTTGAGTCTTTATCGAGTAGGAGTGAGGCGATGATGATGAACGATCGGCGATTTGTAGAGGCGATCGGGCGAATGTGCGCGCATATGCGAAACGGATATGCATGTGTACGCGCCCGAGCGAATCTGCTGATCATCGCGGCTCACGGCCGATATCCCGAGTGCACAAAACGCGCATTGAGATGATCGCTTTATGCCGGCGGAAAAAATGGCAATCACAATCGTCTTTCAACAGTTCGTTATGTGTGGCATACAATCTTATCAGCTGTCGCTTCAGACACGGATCCTTTGATAGAACCGTTATGCGTTACAATTTCACAATTTTCCACATTTATCATATCGAAATTTAGATCCTGAATCATATATCCCTATTAAAACAGAACTACTTCGAAATTAGAAATCGCTTGGAATTTATGGGGCATCGAGTAATAAATCCATAAGTAAAATTACAATTTTTTTCACTTAGAGTTTTAAAAATAACTTAAAACATTGGACTTATTAGAGTCTTTTCATTTGTTCTAAATAAAGCATAATTTTTCATATTTTAATCTTTAACATCTCTCAATTGGATGAATATTAAATCATATCAGGAAAATATATATATTCCAACATTTATTAGCATCGATGGCGATTTATTTCATCTTCTCGTGAATTATTTCTCTGACTGTCTTATTCGATCTCTCTAATGTCACCGTATATGTACAACAACAGCATTGAACATGTTGCATCGCGTGGTAGGCGACGTAATTCTTCAGCGAGCAGGCAGACCGGATTAACGTCTTCATTCCATGGAGAAACCCCTCGCTCGCATGGTGCACCGGTAATCGATCGGTTATGGTAATCCGAGCAAGCGTCGAATGCGATCGTTAAAAAAGCTGCGCGCCCACCGTGCGGTTGCGGTACTCGGTGCAGCGGCCACGTACTCACGCGGCGATAAGCGGCCGCTATGCGTGCAGCTCGATTAACGCAACAACGGGTGCGTGAGCGGTCGCCCGTCGTGCGTGAAGAGAGAGAAACCCACGGGAGAAACGCCCATGTGGTCTACCTGCAATCGCGGCCGATCGAGGGATCTCCTGTGACATGCTTCGTGGCACGATCGCCACTTCGTTCGTCCAACACTGTAATCATGACGATTGTATTTTCATGGCCTTCAAATTCGTACAAAACATTGATAATCTCTTGAGGATTAATCGTATGTAGAATCAGAAAATGTGTCCACTATCTAGAAAACTTTAAAACACCTGAAATGTTCTCAGGGTATTTTTTTCTATTTAGAATTGGAAAATTTGATTAAAACTCACCGAATGTTTAATCTTTTGATTTTGTTTCTTGTGATCGACCGATTATACTCTTCAATACATTTTTAAACTTGATATTTGAAATAACTCTTAATTTTTTTTATGAATATGAAATAAGCTTGTAAAACGCGTGCATTTTTTCTTAAAAAAATTGATAGAAACTTTGCACAAAATTGAGCAATTAATTAGATTTTTTAAATGTTAAAAACTCAACTATGAAAAGTAAAAGCTACGCTTTCGGACATAAAAGCTGATAATATCATTAATACAACGACTGCTCGTCAGCGCTAGACATTATTACGTGTAATCGGCCAGATAATCGACTATCATGAATTATCATTCACGCCTTGAGGGAGTATCTTCGAGAGAGCTTCAAGGTACTATGCGTGTATTTATAAACTAGCGACGTGATGTGTTTGTCGTAACCGTACATCTCGTAAAATTCTACACAGCTTTATTCAATAGGAGACTTATATACTCGCCTATCAATTTCTCTTAGCTTGTATTTACAATCATTTATATTCAAACGACGCGTAATCTATTGACATAAAGAAGTGAAAAATCTTACTTTGCGTTCAGTTTAATCGGCGTTTAGCAGCATTAAAATTTACACAAAATATTAAATATTAAAAATTATGATACAAACATCGGTAGATTTCACGTTTTAATTTTAAATTTACGTAAAAATGCTTAATATGTCTCGCCGAATTCAGAGCATTTAATTCTGAATGTAACAAAACCTACTCGCGTTCACGTATTTATCTCTCATTTTTCTATCGGCTTCAGATGCGTTTTCATTTCATTTCATTTTCTCGATGCCTATCTGCAGGCAATATATGCGAACTCAATTGCTAATTAACTTTCACGGTTTTTATCTGCGGAACAACTGCATCTTTTGACCATTATTGCGCTCCCAAACGTAGATCAGCTTGAAGCAATCCTAAAAGGCGTCGGCTGTATTTAATGATCTGTAGTATATAGTGTGGGTTACGACCTCGGCGTCACGACATCGCAGCAACACGGATGAAAACGAACTGTTGCTCGACGTTATCTATTATGATCACGGAATTGTTTATAATGTCACTGCTGGTACATTTTACCCCGTAGCTAAAAGACCTTATTCAAAGATGACCTACTCCCGAGGTAGATACAACTAAAAGGATGTCATTTAATAATTTATACCGGGTGGAGATTGCAATCGGCAATCGCTCATCGTGTATCGAATCATGCTCTGTAATCAACCGCGCTCTTGCCAGCGTTTACCGCGCCATTGAAATAATTCATGTTGCGCCATCGCATGTATCTTGCCTTGCGACGCCAACTGAAATATACAAAGGACTAACTCGATACGAACGAACCGATCGGCATCCACAGCTTCTCAATTTTTACGTATATTTCTTCAGACACACGTATTATAGCATAATGATGTAATTTCGATATGTGTGTGTGTGAGCAATGTGTAACTTTATTGCGAGAACTTTTTAATTAAACATAGTGTAATGGATGGCGCAATAAACTTTTTAATGTAAAACTTCAGCTGAGACGTTAACGATGATTATTCTCATTTGTTTGCCGCAGGATACGCAGACGTCGCCGGGAGGCCGATTATCGAATTCGAGGACAACGTGTGCACGAGGGAAGCCCTCTCAGTTAGGGAGACAGCGTCGTTCTTGCTCTACCTCGCTCGTCTACCCAGGTAAGTTTCTTTCTTCGTCCGTGCGTGCGTTCGCATATAATGTAACAACTTCGGCGAACGTCGAAATCACCATACGGTCCGTGGAGAGTCGCGGGATGCCTATAAATCAACCGGATTATCGCGCGAGATCAGTCGCGCGTGCGCGCCCATTGGACCGTGCCATAATTTATGAATTCGATTAGCGGGCGACGCGGCCGCGATAATTTTTGCGAAGGGCGTTTTTAACTCGCAGAAAATTCACACTTTACGGCCGCGCGGCACGCTGGCGCGAGACACCCATTTATTACGCCGGCATCTGCACTCCTCAACGAGGCTGTTGTAGCCGATAATAACTGAAATCATCCGACTCCGAATTGGCAATTTATTAATCCCGGCCGGTGGAGTGAAAGAAGGAGAGGGGGGGGGGGAGGAGGAGGGGAGAGAGAGAGAGAGAGAGAGAGAGAGAGAGAGAGAGAGAGAGAGAGAGAGAGAGAGAGAGAGAGAGAGAGAGAGAGAGAGAGAGAGAGAGAGAGAGAGAGAGAGAGAGAGAGAGAGAGAGAGAGAGAGAGAGAGAGAGAGAGAGAGAGAGA